AGAGATCAAATTGAGGCGAATGTCGGGAACATACCTCACATCTTTAAGCAACAACTTGCAACTCAAATTTGTTTCCAAGCAAACATCACTCATACCAATAATCTTGGACAAACCTTCATTATCCATTCGAATAGAACCATAATCTCCTTCGGTGTAGGTAGTGAAGAAATCAACTCGAGAAGTCACATGAAAAGAAGCACCGGAATCAATCACCCAATTGCTCTCTTGGCCCACAAAATTGATACAATCATCTTCACAAACGACCATGAGATCATCGGTAGTAATTGCCGTTGTGTCTTCTTTCTTCTTATCCACACTTTTGTCACGTCTTTTCTCCTTGTTCTTGAGTTTCCGGCATTCTCGCTTCATGTGCCTTTTCTCATGGCAATAATAGCACTCAATGTCTTTCTTTGAAAAAGAACCATCTTTTGATTTGTCACGGCTTTGATCACGACCATGAGGAGTCTTACTCCTCCCCCTTGTTTTGCTTCGGCCTCTCACAACAAATGCTTTCGAATGAGAGGAACCCGCTGATTTTCTTCTAGTTTCTTCATTCAACAAGCTACTAGTGACTTGGCCCATTGTGACAACTCCATCGGGTGCCGAATTACAAACTGTCACAACCAAAGTCTCCCAACTTTCGGGCAAAGAACTAAGTAGCATCAAAGCCTGCAACTCATCATCAAAAACAATTTTCATAGAAACAAGTTGGTTAACAATACTCTTTATTTCCAGAATAGGGTTGCCCTCTTTATATTTTAAATTAACCAACTTACGAAACAGAAAAACTTTATTTGTGGCTGATTTCTTATCATAAAGGCCTTCTAATTTTTTCCATAAATCATGTGCTGAAGTTTCAGTAGCAACATGATGAAACACACTGTCATCAATCCATTGACGGATAACACCAGCGGCTTTTCGATCAAGCCTCTTCCATTCATCATCTTTCATATCATCAGGTTTGCCACTATCACCCTCAATTGGCCCATACAAATCTTTACAAAATAATAGGTCTTCCATTTTAGTTTTTCAAGTTACCCAATTGCTTCCATTGAAGCTAGACATATGACCCACATTCCCCTCCATTGATTTACACAAATAATTAAACCCAAATAAACCGTAAGCTTTGATACCAGTTGTTAGGGAAAATATGTGATTCCCCACAAGTAAATCAATCAATAGGAATAAAAACTAATGCGGAAAAATTAAATCAAAGGTAACACAAGAATTTTTACGTGGTTCTCTCAATGTGAGGTACGTTCACGGGATCGAAATCTGATTCCACTATTAATCAAATAAGTTTCCAAACGATTACAAACGAGACACGAATGGTCTCACAAACTACCCTTAGGTGAATTCCAAATAATCACAAATAAACATGAGGAAAGACCTCACCAAATAGATGAACCAAAATCTTCAGAACTAGAGTTGTAGAAGACCCAAAATAATACTCCAAATCAACCTACACAAAGCAGCCGAATATTCACACAAACACTAGCCGAAAATCGAGAACTGATTCTACCAAATTTCACCTAAGCACTATCTCACCAATCAATTGATCAAAAAAGTGCTGCTGCTTCACAACCAAATAAAAACGGTTGCCTTTTTTTTTTATTCTTCCCCCCGGAAAAACAAACAATACCAATATACAAACAATACCAATATATACATGGTAAACTTGTGGGCTTTTTTATCAAACCCTAGTTGTAACTAAATTAGATTGGGTCTCCATAAATTAGATATGATATATAAAATATATTATACCTAAACCAAATCAAATTAAAATTCTTTTAACAAACTAATTGAGTTTCAAACTTCAATAAGAGGATATACCCAACATGTCCAACTAAAATTGGTAAATCCCAGCTACTTTTTGGTGCAAATTGATGCATATGGACAAACATTCATCAATCATTAGTTTTGTGCTAAGGAAATTTCTTCTCTCTAATTGGGATAACCTTTAGAGACCCATGTTAGATAATTTAAATTATTTATTTATAAAATTTATTAAAAAAATTATTCATATAAAAAATTAAATCGATTGAATATCGATAACTATATATAATTGAATTATATTATTTTAAAAAATAAATGATACATATAATTTTAAAAATAGTCTGCTCATTTTTTAAATACAAATATAATCTAATCATGCAAATATCAATGTATGATTATCTTGAATTTTTACATAAGTAATACTCTCAATGAATCTAAAGAATAAATGGTTTAGATCACCTAAATAAGTCCTGAAATTAGCCCAAGAGAGTGCCCTAGTTGGAGAGAATCCAAACCCTATTTAGCTCACAATTACCACCAAAACACTAAATTGCATAATAATCGTGTTAAACTGAATAATAATATTGGGGACGAATAACTATATTAACTAAACATAGCTTCTGTTTGGAAAGTGTGTTGACTTTTTGACCTTTTGATTTTTTTGACTTTTTTGACTATTTTAATCTGGGCTAAAAAGGTTAGTTTGGGAAGGATTTTTTGACTTTTTGACTTTTTTTGTTAGAGAATAGTGTAATGATTATGGGTTGAATGTGATGTTTTGTTTGTTGTGGCTAAAATAGCCTATTTTATCTTTTGTGGCTAAAATTGTCCCAAACCTCCTTGCAAGTTTGTAAGTGTTATGCCCTAACTTTTGAGATAGAAAATAAATAAATAAATAAATAAATAAATACAATTTGTTTGGCTTTTTTCAGTTTGAGAGAGAGTTTGGACTTGATCGGTTTATTTTGGGACCGATTTTGGTGATTCAAACTATTTATTTTTTAAAACTTATTAAATAGAATATTCATGTAAAAAAATCAAGATGATCAAGACATTGGTAATTATATATTTGAATCAAATTTGTATTATAAAAAATAGATGGCTATTATTAAAATTATATTTGTCGTCTATTTTTTAAAAACAAATATGATGTAAACATATAGTTACCGATATCCAATCATCTTATTTTTGCATAAATATTCTACTCAATAAATCATAAAAAGTAAACTATTCAGATTACCAAAATTAATCTCAAAATAAGTTTATTAAACCCAAACGCTCTCTCAAGTTAAGATGACAACTCAAAAAAAATCAAACTCAAAAAAATAAATTTAATTACAATAAAAACTCACACAGACACCCGTAGGTGAATGTTATATAGTTATGGTTGGCTTATATTGTGAAGTGTCTTGTCAATATAGAATAAATTGAACTATATGAGGAAAAAAAATTCGGTGCGTAATGCTCACAGTATGTAATTATACAAAATTATATAAGTGTTTATGAATTTATATAATTGATCTCATAAAAATACATAAGTTGAATACAAATACAAACAAATTTATAAAAACTTAAATGATTATACAAAATTATGTAATATTTAACTTACATAATTTTGTATAAAATTACATTAGATGTGGATTGCACAACTAAACATTTCACTTATAAGAGACCTTTTCAATCATAGTTTCAGTGTGAGAGAAGGTTCTTTTTCCAATCGGACAATCTCTTCTTGATTTTATCAATGACGCACAGCAGCATCTCCAAACTCGATTTTTTGGATTTGGGGACGCTGCTCCCGCGCAGCAGCATCTGCTGTGCGCGGAAATGAGCTCATTTTGGGGTTCATTTTGATAGTCCGAACCGTTCACATTTTAGAATACACAAAGTAGAACATGCTTATAAAAAATCAAGTTAATCGGATATCATTTACCTATTCATCCACTCACATTTCTATCTACAAAAATAAATAATATTTGTGATTTAAAGTATTAAAATGAATATAAATGTGAGTGGATGAATAGGTAAACGATATCCAATTAACTTGATTTTTTGCAGGCATATTCTAGTTGATGTATTCTAAAATGTGAACGGTTCGGATTATCAAAATGGGTCCCGAAATGGGCCTATTTCCGCGCACAGCAGATGCTGCTACACACCTCGCGCAGCAGCATCCCCAAACTCGATTTTTTTGATTGGCTCTCCTTGTTTTTTGTTTCCTATAAGTGGATCCCAAAGGTAATCTCCCAACTTAGTCGATGTGTAATTTGCAAGATTTGCACCTTAACTTTGTGGCCATTTACGTCAACAACACAGATTGAAGACTTCTGAAAATTAATCTTCAACTCTAACACAACTTTGACGACAAATGTGTTGTCAACAAATTGGAGGTGTGTAACTGAAAATTGTTTGACCCAACCCCGACCCCTTTGATAAGGTTGTATTGCTTTGCTCACTTGAAAAGAACAAAAATGTTAGAGAGCTCAAATGAATATTTGTTAATTCATTTAGAATTCTTAACGTTACTCTGAATGCTCAAATCTTCTGCCACGAGATTGATACCCTCGAGGAGGATATACATTCATCCATTCGATCCATTTACACCCTTTGAGTTATTTTTCCAGAGGTTCACTATAACATTGGTGACAAGAATTCCATTTAGAATTGCTGCCAAAATAGCTAACAAATCACTTGCAACACTGAGGTCACGTGAGACATCCAATCTCCTACAGTAGTTAAACCATACATTTCAAAATTAATATTATTACAGATAAACTTATAGAAACAGAGTACTCTGTCATCCAATCTCCTTCTAGATATGTTCCAGTGCATTGTAGTTAGAAAAATAAATTTGGGTGAGTTTTACATGTATGGAATTCTGTCACCAAATCTCATTGTCTGAATGATTATTTCTCAAAATTGTCACATAACTGTATAATTAGGAATGCATTGGGATAAAGTAACCGAGTGAAGTAGAATAGTTAAGAATGTTAGTAACCGGATCAATAATAGACAAAAAATTGTAAAGAACAACTTTACAATAATTGTAAATCACAAACATAATTCATTCCAAAACTAGGATTGTGATTACGGGCGATTCTACTAATGCTATGTTTGGTTGGGGGTTTTGGGGAGAGATTTGCAAAGAGAAATGGAAAAATGTAGGTAAAATATGAATAAAACATACCTATATTTTACATACTTTCACACACATTTTCCTTTTTTCTTTTCAAATCTCTCTCTAAATTCTCCAACCAAACACAGCGTAAAAGTTACAGAAGACATAGAAATTAGTGTCTCACAACTATATATTCATAGAATTAGAACAAGAGATTGTGGAAATACCAAAAATATCCCCTTTCAAAAAATTGGAAGGGTTTTTACGAGAGAGAGAGAGAGAGAGAGAGTCTACCAAAACTGTAGAGGGTGGTTTCTGGTTCAACTAATTTCAAGAAACATTGACTAATTGAGAAGTGAGCTCCAGGAAGGCTTGTTCATTGCAGGGGATAGTGAGGCCTCCCATTGGATGATGAAATCCAAACTCTTCCTCAGCTTGAAGAAGCAAATCTTGGAATGAAGGATGGTTCAGGACAGACACTGGAACCACAAATCTCTTCCTCTGAGACTCTCCTACATACACTGCTAAATGGCCTTTTGGAACATCTGATGACAGATTTCTAGTGAGGAGATGAGCCTGAAGCTTCAAAAGTTGCTTGGCTTGAACGATCATGGACTGTAAATGAATACCCATTTGATTGTTTTCTTGATCTGGGGTTGAAATATTGAATTATCTGGCGTGAATCAAAGTGGGGTTTTGGAAACAGAGGATCTGGAAAGTGATTGATGAATATAAAAGCAGAGGAGTGAAAGTTGTAGCGGTTGAAGAATAGGAGCCGTGTTGCTTTGTATTTATAGCGCTTGCACCGCATTTTATTTTCTTAATTATTTTATCCAAAGTTTATGTTTGCTTGTTTCTAGGTATTCAATGCACTCCCCCGGAAAATCATTTGGTACTCTCGCCGGAGTATCATATTTATATTCTTTCATCAATTATTATTTATCATATGTTCTCATATTTCTTAATCATTCAATACAAAATTATAATACTTTATTTTTTCACTAATCATAACATCATGGAACATTACGTGACCGTATTCTCAAAATACCTAATAATCACCTTCACCTCGTGATCTCATTTCGAAATTCTTCCCATTTAATAAATTTATTTGTTTGGTGTAATTTTTGAAAATTAAAAAACACATGCTGTCTTGTTTTTCAATAATTAGGTTATTTATAGTATGAATTGGTGGGTATTATCCGAGCTCATGAGATTCATCATGAGTTCTGTTTCGATAATTTAAATCATTCAAGTTGTGTTGTCATTCGTGTATATCATCCACAAAAAATTAGACCAACCCGATAATTATAACTTATCAATTTATAGCGTTTGTCACCAAGAAAAATGGATGATCTATTTTTAAAAATACACCTCTCTTTCATTTTTTTGTATACAAATGTAATAAATTGAATATGTTATAATTAAAACAAGACTCGTAGTAAGTACTATGAACCCAAAGAACACTCTCCGGTTTAAATTATGGATTGGAGGCAATCCAACTTCTTTTAAATTATTTGTCTCATAAATTATAAGTAGAAATCCTACTAAATATTTTGACACATATTTTGAAAATAAATCAAGTTAAAAGCAGCTTCATTAACTGCAGCAAACACAACCCCAATGTACTTGTTTGGTGCAACTAATAGGAGCCCGTTGTAGCTTCTTTTAATTTATTTTTGGAGTGTAGAGTATTTGGCACAACATGTTTTTTAGCATATAAGATAAAAATAATTTAAATAATTTGAAAAAAAAAATTTAATTATTGAAAAGCTGCACAATGAATATTTTTAGTTTTTGATTTTTTATTAGCTTTTAGTTTGTAATAATCTGCATCAAACATACCTAGTATGGGTTGATGTAGATTTGTTTGGTGCAATTTTTTTCTTAAGTCAGAAGTAGATAATTAATAAATAAAAATTAAAAGTACTCCCAATTTACAAACAATTTTTTCAACTTATCTAAATAAGTAATGTTACATATTATAAAATAAATATCATGAAAAAATTCATGAAACTAATTTAAGGGTGATTACAATACACAATAAAATACTACAAACTAATCAAAGGGTAAAGAATCTTTGTAAAGACTTTTCATAATATTTCTTTTATGATACCTAACATTATTGTAAATTAATTATTTCTAACTCATAAACTATATACAGAAACTCCACCATGCACTCTAACACTAATTCTCAAAATTTCAAAATTTACAAATTTTTTTTTTAAGAGAATCAAAGAGAGCAAAAGTGTAAGGGTGTTCACAGGTCTATCTAGATCGGGTTTACCCATCATCTGTCAACTGAACTGAACATGTCAGTTTGGAACATTAATCACCCGCAATTGATTGACACCATGTTCGAAATTGACCGATTCAAGCCTTTTGATTTGACGGTCTGTTCGGACGAGCGATTCACACACCAGACCCTGTCTCTTTCAATTTCTTTTAGCTTTCAAACAAATCTCAAAATAAAAAATATGTCTGTTAGCAAAAATCTAATTTAAACCTAATCCATAGGCCTCAACAAATTTTCACACAAACACAAAAGATAAAACTTGTAGTTGAGTTCTATACCTTAAATAGATTAAAGGCTTTTTTGGAGGTAATTAAACAAAGAAAAAATAAAACAGAACAGAATATGTATTATTTAAATAAATTGTCACTTGTTACAAGTTGCATGAACTTAAACAGATACAAAGAATTGAAAAATACAGCAATTGACATAATGGGGTTTAGAAAAAAACTATCAATAATCTACTCTTAAAATTACGAAGTTAATTGCTTCTAACTAGAAACAAGTACCACAATATGTGAGTGATTTTTTTGATTATTTGTTTGCATCTTTCTTGCCTATTCATAGGCTTGAAACCAAAGGTCCCTTTTGAAAATAATTGATGAAGGCAGTTTTCATCAATTTGACCACTTCATAAAAGATCATCCCACATCTCTAGTAAGTAGCACACATTGCCATCATCATATAGAAGTCAGTTCCTTATTTTTAGCCAAACTTTGCCACCATCATAAAGGAGTTAATTACTTTTCTTTAGCCTCAGTTACCATCCCTCAATTTGTAAACAACATGCTACTGCATGTACAAACAAAATGATAACAATAACAATAATAGTAATAATAATAAGGGAAAATTATCAGGAAATCCCATTTGGGAGAGTTTTGGACTGAGAGATCCTTTTTTTTTTTAAATACTCTGAGTAGTCTTATTTTTATGGTAATATTTACAACCAAATCCCGTACATTGTTGGGGGTGGGGATTTTGTTACTTTTTTATCCCTTTATTGTATGTAACGTGTTTGGTAAGGATGTGGGTGAATCCCTTTGATTTCGTGGCTGGAGTTGGGGGGTTGATTGTGGGACAGTGATCTTCAGCAAGTATTTGAATGCATATTGGGGTATGATTTTAGTCCGTGGTGCTATGGAGATAGGCTTCTTTTTTTTTTTTGCATACAGGTAATGTGTTCATCGTTTTTTTGGTATGTGGGTCTGTTGAGAGTGGGGTTGTGGCGTGTGGGCTCGTGTTTTGTGATGGGGGGAACACGTTACTAGTGGTTGTATTGATCGGTTATTTTGGAGTATATTGTTATCTCATTAATTGCATTTCACACAGTCGGTAATATTCATGGGGGTTTAATGGTTTGTTATTTTCCATTGTAGCGATGGGGGACAACCTGATTTTGTTGTGTGCGTATGGGGGTAATAACATTGCCGTGATGTTTGATGTGACGTTCACGTTCAGTCGTTTGGTTAGTCATGTGTGCGACCGATTTGGGGATTTGTCTCCGGATTCCATTTCAATGTTCTTCAAGATAACCGGGTACAATAAGTTCAACATGGAAAATGAGATGGACCTCCAAAATATATTATATCTTGCCAGGTCTTTCCAGGTGGACCATATTGGTATTGTGGTGAAGTTACAGGGAGGGTCGTCGTTGGATGCAAGTCAAAAGGGTGTTGTTGAGGATTCACATGGAAAACACATCCATGGGGGAGGAAGTGGTTTAATGAATGATTTTGGTGAAGACGAAGATTTGTTACCCAATTTTTGCCCGCATGCCCATAATATGTTGCTATCGGAATCATGGGCCTCTTGCATTAGTAATGTGGGACAATGTTTCGAAGGCGAGGCAGGTGAATTTCGTAAGGTTCTCAACAAGTACGCTATTGAATGCGGGTTCCAATTCAAGTTCAGAAAGAATGACTCGGTTAGAATTACGGCGGTATGTATGTTTAACGAGTCAAGGGGGTGTCTTTGGTCTGTCCATGCCAGGATGATGAATGTCAATGGGTTCTTTTATTTGAAGAAATGGAATAGCGAACACACATGTGGGGTTGCTGTGCGGACTGCAAAAAACCTAAGGATGGAATTTGAATTGGTTGCTGATGTCATGGTGAAACGCGTACGTGACAAGCCATTGACTCACCCTACGGATGTCAAATATCACTTTCAAAAAGATTATGGGCTGCAAGTTAGTTACCATGTAGCTTGGTTAGGAGTTGAGAAGGCTAGAGGGGAACTATTCGGGGATCATTCCTCATCGTTCGACTAGTTACGATGGTATAGTAACGTCGTTATGGAATACAATCCTGGAAGTTACGTTAATCTTGAGTTCGATGAAAATAACACACGTTGTTTCAATAGGTTGTTCATATCATTCGAAGCTTGCATTGACAGGTTCAACCATTGTCGCCAATTATTATTTTTGGATGGTACTTTCTTGAAAAGGAGATACAAGGGTAATTTGCATGCGGCCACGGCAAAAGATGGGAAGAAAGGTTTTGTTAGTTCACCATTTGAATTATATTTTTTAGTGTTTTCATTTTGTTATCCCATGTATTTTTTGTTACATGTGGGTGTGTGGGTTTGAGGAGCTTGTGGTGAAAACGTGCCGGCCATTGAGTTGGGGAGGGGGGGTTTGAACACATTGGGTTGTGTGATGTGGTGTTTTTTGTTTTGCAGGTTTATTTCTGGTGGCTTTTGCAATTGTCGAGGCTGAGAATGCAACAAACTAGGAATGGTTCTTACAAAATCTTGCTAACATAGTTGATAGGGGCCAATTGATTACATTTATTTTGGATCGTCATGCAGGTCTTTTAGAGTCCATACCGTCTATTTTCCCCACATCACACCATGCATTTTGCATGCAACATTTGCAAAGGAATTTGAAAGACAGGATGAAGTACGTCAATCATCTATATCGTATTGGCCTCGTTACCAAATTCCGTGAATGTGCTTATGCACCAACGGTTGCCGACTTTAACCACAAGTTAGCACAATTTATACAATATGGCCGTCATTTTGTGGTAAATTTCCTGAAGGATTTAGACCTACGCCATTGGGCAAATGCACATTTTAGGTAATAATTGGTCCTTCCTTAATTAAATTGGCTACCTTGGTTTATATGTAAAACTTATGTATATAAATAATATCTTGCCACACTTCTCCATGGGCAAACGATATGGCGAAATGTCTTCCAACGTCGCAGAGTCATTCAACAATTGGATAAAGGAAGCTCGCCATCTACTGATCGCTAGGTTGGTTGACGCAATCAGGGTATAGATTATGAATCAGATATCCGACCGCAGGGGTCGTCCAGCACATGGTCTAGTATAATTTTCCCAAAAATGGAATATAAATCAGACAAGGCATATAAGAAGGGGAGACCATGGACTGGCAGCCAGGCAAACCATGATGTGTACAAGGTCCACTCACATCCATCCATGTTAGTTGACATTGGAAGGCGTACGTGTTCATGTTTCCAATGGCAGATAGATAGGCTCTCTTGTGAACACGCAATGGTCTCCATTCGCAACAACAGAACGGACTTGTACGAGTTGGTTGATCCTTTTTTCCACGTGACCAAATACCGGTTAGCATACTCCTCCACAATATACACAATCCCAATAGTTGAAAAATCGAAAATCAAACCCGATAATCATATCATACTCCCTCTATCTGTCCGGCGTTCACCTGGTAGGCCAAAGAAGAAAATGCAAATACGATGTGGTGGGTATGGCCGTTTGGGAAATCATAACAAGAAGACTTGTACAGAACCAATTTAGTTCCACACTCTTTTTTTTTTTTTTTTTCCCCACTTTTTTTTTTTTTTTTTTTTTTGTTATCTCGTACTCTCAGATTTATGGTCATTTTTGTTGCCTATCATGTTGCTTAACTAGTTTAATTTTTTTAATAACAATGTGGCGAATGTGTCTGTTCGGGAAATCATAACAAGAAGAATTGCACAAAACCACTTCAGTGCCAAACTCTTCTTTGTTGTCGTTATCTCGTACTCCCGACGAAGTTGACATTGCCCACATTACAACCTACAAACATCTGCATTTTTTTTTTCATTTTCCCTAGGCATAATATTGCTCCGCTCGATTTATTTTTTTAATAAAGGTGCCTTGTGCCGGATTCCATCCCGAATGGATTCCAATTTCAGTTCACAGTTTATAATATGTTTTTCCTTACGAATAGTTTCAATGTTTGATGTATCCCGTCATAATATTTTATTCCATCATTTCGACAATAACAATAGTTGATCGTCACCAAGTCGTAACCCCAGATCCAACAAATGGCCTATTAAAAAATATGTACCCATCATCCACATTGCTCAAATAATTTGCATAGTAACTTTGAAGGTTGCACACGCCATTTCTTTTGTAACATGATGTGCATCATGTGACACCTCATTCAGTCCTTACCAAAACCACACGCAAGGAAACTTTGATACACACATTAAATGGACAAAAACAGCACACTAAAACATTGAGTGTCCTCAGCTTGTCAAAATGCGCACAAGTTTTTTTACGTAGATCATGTACCCATCGGCCTGTGGCACCCACCACGCGCCATAACTGGTGAAAGGAATATTTGTAACGCAAAAAAAAATAGTCTGGCACCCATACACACATGTTCGATTCGTCTTGTTTATTGAAAATGATAAACAACCAACCAACCACACCAAACTCTATATCTATAAAGCTCTTCCCATCATACCAACAATACAAACACACATGCACATCTACCATTTTAATCTATATTTTATGACGACCCGACGTATTACAATCACCCAAAAAAAAAAAAAATTCTTACAACAATAACCGATCAAACGCACATCACAACTACACATTACGCATGTATAACCAACCATAGATTATAAATGCACGTGCATTGATCGACCATACAAATATGTATGTAACAATATATGTACACTATTGTTTCACATAATGCGCTAACCACGTCTCTAACTGCAGCAGCAACCATATAAATGTTTAAAGAAATACAACACTACCAGTGCAAATATGGTTTCATTTATACACACAATATCGTCAAGACCTGCCAACAAATTAAGATGCAAACATCTATTGCAAACAACCACACCATCATAGAACTACTAACACAGTTAGATTAAGGGTAACAAATTCACAGTTTATGGAAAAATAATTAACGTCTCACATTCCATCCAAATTAAGAACTACCAAAGTCTATACCAAAAAACAAAACCAAAAAACCAAAATAACACGTCCAAGTACGAATCTAACTAATCCAACATCAACCACTAATGTCCACTGCATCACATTTTAGGCCTCGCACGAGGTCATCCACGAATGCTCTAACCATTGCAGTATGTGCACCGATGCAGTTTGTGTCTTTCATTGTCCGTTCGATATCAACGTGGTGGACATATTGTCGCATTACATAGCACACAATGATTGCGCAGTCTGGACTGCAAGCAACAAGCACGAGGGGACACTTGAGTAACAAAGCAGCAAAGCATGGCAATTATTAATTTACAAATATGAGGATAACAATTAGTAAATAACCCATAATGTGTTTATTAAAGAGAGGGGAAAAAAAAAACAATACCTTTGTAGTCGTTGTTGTGGGCAATCCACGATTGACTGTATAATACTAACTACGTCTTGCATGCTAACCACGTCGTCCTCCGCAGCTGCCTCAATGGTGTGCATCACATAGCTCAACACCTGCTCTTTCTGCCACATACACAAAACATAAAACAAGTAACTAAACCCGTATTCAAAGCGACAGTGACATTAATCGACTATAGCAATAGAACATAAAAACGTATCACACACCCCCCCTAACCAAACCACACAACAAAAACCAACCCCCATACACCCACCCACCCAACAACAAACAAACCAAACATATCACTGCCTCTAATGGACTATAAGATACGAATAAGTCTCGGCAATAGACCATGGACTTTGACCGGTCCACAAGGTATGCTCGGACCAACCCATTCTATATTTCTAAGGATTCGTTTGGCATTAGTTAATATAGCCAATTTTTTTGTGTTTGAACTTTTTTAACCTGACTTTTTTAGCCTTGTTGGGTTTTTGTTTTTGAACTTTTTTGACTTTTGTGAGAAAAAAAAATATAATGATTATGAGTAAAAAATAATATTTTGTCTTATTAACTTTTGTAGTTAATTTTATCTTTTTGTGATTAAAAAGCCCAAAAAAAAAAAAAAAAAAAAATCCCAAACAGCTAAATACCCACATTCAAATTAATAACACCTACCCACACACAAGACAAAAAATACAACAACAACACATCTCCATAATTGACCTACACAACAACCCCATACACAACACCATAGTTACCCACAAACATCACCAAACATAAACGTCGGCCACAATCCATTGACCAAAAAATGTACACATACACATACCATATTGCTTTCTTCATTTATTAAAAAAAAAAAAAACATACTAAAAACATCGTCTCCTTGAAATGTGCATCTTCATTTTTGTTTCGGGGCCTCATTGAATTGAGATGTTTCCAAACCCCACTTTCGGTATCATATACAAGGAGCGTCCAGTGTGACCTATACCACATTGGGAAATGGACCTATACTTATCTCTCGACGTATCTTTTGTGTGCTTCATCATGTCTTGCAAAAAAAAAAAAATTAAAACAAATACTATAGACCAACACATGAACAACCAATATGTCCGACCACTAACTCACACACACCCTTACCAAACCAATGCTGCTGAAAAAGTATGATTTTTTAGGGGATTCTAAACCAACAGCCAATACATCTTATTCACTCAATAAAAGCTCTGCACATGCATCGATAACCTACCAAACACATTGCGCGCACATCGTCACACACAACCTCAAATATATGTCTATTACACAAATGACATATCATTACGCGCATCGCAACACAATTTATGCAACATACATTTCCTCTCACAGCACCCTGTCGAACTAAATTACGAATGTCTGAAAAGTACACAAAAAGATCTTCCCCCGAACCAGTCCATATAATGGCCCTGCACCAAGCTTAAGCAGATTTCTGTAAGCAAATTCATATATCATGCACACATTTAAAAAAATATATATATATAAATTGGAAACACTAACCCATCCCCATGCTCATCATACGTGAGGCCCAATTTATGTTGCATTTCTTTGGGTATTAATTTCCACACTGCCAGTTGGTTATTTAACCCAAACCCCGTGTGAATTTTCACACTACCACCATCCTTATCATCACTTACCTCGCCATCGCAC